TCCACCTGCGTAATATCACTAACATTAGAAACATCTGATCTAAAGATGATGCAGAAAAACTGGTCCATGCATTTGTCACGTCTAGACTGGACTATTGCAATGGTTTATTATCTGGGTGTCCAAATACTTCTTTAAAACGTCTTCAGTTGATCCAAAATGCTGCTGCCAGAGTCTTAACTGGAGTTACTGGGAGAGATCATATCTCTCCAGTTTTAGCTTCTCTCCATTGGCTCCCTGTCAAATCCAGAATAGAATTCAAAATCTTACTTCTAACCTACAAAGCTCTCAACAACCTAGCTCCATCTTATTTTACAGATCTTATTCCAAAAAAGTTCAATCTGGTCCTCTGGACATTCAAAAAAAATAAATAAATAAATAAATAAATAAATAAAACAAAACAACAAAAAATGTAGAAACATTTCGTCTCTCATCCTGAGGACTTCCTCAGTCTGAGGTGCTGTATTCAGCTCAGTCTCTTAAATAGTACCTTCTCAGAGTGGATCAACCAGTTTGCTGCTGACAACCAGAACCAGCTGATCACATGGTCAAGAAGGACCATCAGCCTAACAATGGATCATTAGCACCTGATGGCTGTTTACTGTTCACAGAGGGCTGAGTGATACTAGCAATCACAGCATTGTAAGAGGGGGACAGTTGAACCTGGAGGCTCCGCCCCTGTTTAATGATGGACGGTTTCTTTTCACAAAGATGGCCTCCTTTACTCCTCTCTCAAACCATCGTTCCTCTCTGTCCAGGATGTGAACATCTTCATCCCTGAAAGAGTGACCTCTGACCTGGAGATGAGTGTAGACCTCAGAGTCCTGGCCTGATGATGTTGATCTTCTGTGCTGGTCCATCCTTTTGGTCAGTGGCTGTTTAGTTTTCCCGATGTAAGACTGATCACCCTCCTGACACTGAACAACATACACAACATTGCTCTGTTTGTGCCGGGGGACTGGATCTTTGGGATGAACCAGTCTTTAATGTATTTTGGGGTTTAAAAGCCACTGGGACGTTGTGTTTAGAAAATAAACGTCTCAGTTTCTCTGATACTCCCTCAACATATGGAATGACCACTGGTCTGGGTCTGGGTTCCTCCTTTTCACCTGATGGCTGACTGG